GTGTTTATGTTTACATGCTATATTTGTAGATCTTATACAAGTTAATGTTTATAAAGTACATATGTAATTGCATAGTCGAGTATTTAGTCCTACTCTAAATACAAGTGTTTTTTGCCCTTATATGGATTTATCTTGTGTTTATACTGCCTATCATATACCAGTTTGTATTCCTTCAAAGCCGAAACTAAGTAGTCCTAGCTATGAATACCATATTTGGACTTTCTAAGCAGACTTCCATCATCCGATAATCATCCCTATATGCATCGATCTGTTGGACTTATTATGGGTTTGCACCGCATTTAACCAGTTAGCATTCTTTGTACTTCCCTGGCCTACAGGGTTGTACAATGCCCCAAATCTTCCAGGTTCCGGTTTATTGCCAATCCTTGGTATGCTAACGAGTTACAGGCATTTTTTCCCGATGTGGACGATAGTAACTGTAACACAGGATTAAATTCGAAAATCGTCATCTGTAGGATTCGAACTCTCAACCTGCTATTTGGTGGGATGACAACTAGACCACTTCACTAAGCCGCCACACCCTTAATATAAATACTTATAAAATTAGTTTCGCATATAGGAACGTGTTCTTGTGATCACATGTGTAGTTGATTGTATCACATTTTAGTAATAAATCAGGACCAGTCAAATTAATGCACATGAACAATATGTAATTAAGAGTAGTCAAAAGTAATGTATGATTAATTATGAGATAATAGGAATAGTAAGACAGTTGTATGATTAGTTATGATACATTAATTATGAGATAATAGAAATAGTAAAATAGTTGTATGATTAGTTATGATGCATTAATTATGAGATTAAGTCAAAGAAGTGCATGTAAATAACATTATGATGTAATTAATTTATAGATTAATCTGATACGTATAAGGAATTTTAGAGAAATAAAATAAGTTTTACCTTTCGCTTTGTAAAATAATATATATTAGGAAAATCCATAAATCCACTTTGGTTTGAATAAGTGATAAGTTGCTTTGTTTTGCCAATATAAACCCACATAGTTAGCAAAGGCTATGACATATATAACCAGAGTTGTAAATAGACATAGCTCAATTAAAAATTGGATTATCTAATTGTCTAATGGTCTAATTGCCCAATGGTTTAATTGTCTAATATCTATTTGACTTAGTTGAGAATAATTATGTCTATTTAAATAAAATTTTTATTAGACAATATCTCTATTGGTCTATTGGTTCTATCAATTTATAATTCCAGATTATATAAGAAAAATATCATAATCAACACTAATAAATTCTTAATGTTAAAAATTTTACTACTAAGAATAGCTCTTGCATTAAGTTTAGAATTGTTTAACAAACCAAAAAGTTAGATATTGATATAGCATGATTAGTAATTAATTAAAATAAAAAGTATAATATATGGTATAATTAAATTTAATATAAAAGGCAGAAAAAATAAATAAAAAAACTAGTATTTTTTTGTTTAACAAAACACACAAAATAATATACTATATACTTCTGAAATTAAGCACCTCTACATTCTATATTCACCCAAAATTAAGCACTTCCTTTAAATAGTTACTAGAATAAAAATTGGTTTAAACCAGTTTGTGTCAATTACATTATATTTCAAAATAAGCACTCATATAACAAAAAAAGAGTGTTTAATTTCAGAAGTTTACGGTATATCATAATTATACTTATTTGCTAAACAAAATATATAGAACATGAAATTAAAGCTTTCTGGGTTAGATACATATACAAGAGAAAGTACTTCTGCTTAATCTTGTGATGTTTACTACAAATAAAAAAAATGCAGAAAAGTAAACCTTTAATAATTACTATCACTGTAGTTATATTTAATAATTAAAATAAAACAATTAATACTTGTATAGTCTTTATTGATTCTGAGTAGTTTATTAAATATTGATATTTTGTTAAGTTTTTTATTTCAATAATAAACAATAACATAATAAATTGCATATCTTGCTAATAATAAATATAATGTATTATTTTAGTTTGTACTTTTAATAGGTTAGATATTTAGATTTGATATTGTTACTTTAGACAAGCTAGATATTTTTAAGATATTTATTGTTGTGGAGTTAATAAATGTATATAGATAGTTATACACTCAATTCTGCTCAGAGACTCATTTAGTCTTGCACTTGCTTTATACATAGCTACATTTCTTACTCAAACACTGCCCTCTACTCAATAACAACTTTTCACAATCTTCTCTTCTCAAGATACTAAGTTACTATTACTAGGCACAGATTATTTCTCAAGAAAATGAAGCATGGGTTTGATCTGCAAAATCAAATCTATATTTATTTAATTCCATTGTTTACATCTGATCACATTTCACAATAAGTAACATGATCATGATGTGTGATATTTGCTGAACCCTGGTACTACAAAATACAGAGGTAACCTAAAACACCACCTCATTATTATAGATAAACAAGCTAAAGGTTTAATGATTTACAATAATTTGCTTTTTTGTTTTTATTTTAAATATTATTATTTATATTAAAGAAAATTTATTAATTTACATGTAGTATTTATATACGGATACTAATTTATTTATTTACAAACTTGTGTAATGTGCTAATCAAAACAATTTTTACAAAAGAAAATTAAACCCTTGTTTATAGTTAGGGTAAAAGTTAGTTTGGGATTGGGGTGAGAGTAGTTTATACCAAAATCTCGCAAGAGAATTTTTTTGTTAGAAGCCAAAAGGTGGTTTCCTATCATAATTTTGAAATATTACTTGGTTTTTTTATACCCGTGTATATACACTACGTGTACAAATAGAAATTCTTTATATTAAAATACTTTATAAATTTTGCTAGAATTTTTGATTATAATTTTCAATGCAATTTTGATTGAGTTAAAATTTTTTTAGTCTAGTTTTTAAATTCTTATCTATATTAAACTTTTTTTATTAGCACCTGTTCATGTAATATATTTATTATGATAGCTTATATTTAGTACTCTTTATGTTTGTTATTAAGATCTGTTAATTGGCAAGAACAATTTTATATAAAGTTTTCTACAGACCAAATACTCAAACATACTGGATATGTATTTAAGCAAAATCTTAATTTTGAATGTGTTACTATTGCAGTATTATTCAGGATACAATTACAAAAAATAAATTATTATTACTATAAAATTTGTCTATTGTCTAATGATTCAATTAGACACCCATTGGACCATTAGACTGTCTATTGTGTCTATTGACTTGTCCATTGTCCATTCACAACCCTGATATAACATTATACCTCTGAAACCGCTGGTGATAACCTACTCTTCCTACTCATCAGAACCTTCAGATAATAATTACCTAATAATCTTACAATGGTTGTACCAGACTTGTTTCAAGTTAGGCTGAATCTGTGAAAGCTGATAGAAATCAATTCTCTGTTATGACTAAGTGCTAATTGTCTAAAGCGAGGCGATGAGTCATTTCTATACATTTGAAGTCGAAATTTCGTTTTGATACATTTACAATAAAAATTTTTAAATAAGCAATTTTGGATTTTTTATGTTTAATGACTACAGTATGTTAGGCATTGGTAATTGCACCCATACGTATAGTCGCATTTTTTTTTTTCTTTAAATAAATTAACCATTCTTTTTTTTTTTTTTTTTACGGCCACATAGAATGGTACTAGTCACGTCAACAGCAATGGAATTAAGCAGGTAATATGAATTTGTGTAGGCGCAGAAACTGTTCAGAAATCAATAGATATAAGGCGTGGTGATGAAATAATGTGTGAAAAATAAACGATACGTGACAAATAGGGTCATGCGGATCAATCAGATCTATGATTTTGCAGAGTACGTAAACGCACTGTTACACTCAACCATCTCTAAACCGGTTCGATGAAACTATGTGGATAAATGCCTCACGTGCTTAGTATTTCAAGTAGTGAATATGTACATCAACTCTCTCTAAGTGCAATTCATTGAGACCGGACTTTTAGCAACTTGCATTTAGAGAACAATTAAGGAAAATTGCATTTATAGAAACAAAACGTATACCAAACATATACTTTGGTCCAAAGTAAAGTTGCATTTAGAGAGAAGTTGCACTTAGAGGGGTTGCACTTAGAGAGAGTTGACTGTATAGAGGTTTTATGTGATTTGGGTTGCGAAAGAGGTAATCAGCTAAATGTATTATGCTCAATTAAATTATTTGAACAAATTAGACATTGTCTAAATGTCCAATTATGTCGAATATTACGACATATGATCTCTGCTTTACGCTTGCATTATAATTATACGCTTTATGATTTCAACACTCCGTTCCTGGTATTTACTCTAATACAATACTACTACTAGAACAAATAGCCACAGCATAAAAATATACACTAATTTATTAAAGAACTATCAGCATTAAAAATTCTGGTACAATTTTAGTGCAAAAACTTATATATTGTATAGCTCTCTGATTTACGCGACGTGTATCTTGTTGAAAAACAAATAATTATTTAAAATGGATATTTAAGAAATATATAAAATGATTTAAACAAAGACACATCGATTTTTAATTGCTATAATATATATATTTATCTAATAATATATATATTTATCTATAATATATTTATCAAATATTTATAAAAAGCATTTATAAAATAGATACATAAGTAAACACTAATAACAATTCGTCGGCATCTTTTTCACTAATGTAGGCCTATGCGTTCTCATACTTTCGGCTACACTAGTAAAAGTATTAATCAAATTAATTTCATCAATAGCACATGTAAAATGACACCGCAAAGAATTTGTAGAACCATTTTCTGGATGATATTTGCTCGCAATTTTAGCCATTTGTTTTAAAGAGGCACCATCAGAATTAGCAAACATGACCGTCATAAGATATAATGGATTTCTAGTTTAAAATTATTATTTAATTAATATCTTAAGTGAAATTAAACAAATTTAAAACGTATATGGATAAACTGAACAATAACTCTGTCTAAACTGAACTTTAAAATTCTAATTTGATTGTAAAGTTCAGATTAAATGCTAAGTACATTTTTAAACTGAAGTTATTTCTTAATAAATTCCAAGTCCCAGTTTAGAGAGAGCTGTGATCTCATAAGTTTGTAAAGAAATAGTTTACTTACCCTTTTTCTTTATTACTTTTGCATATTTCTTCAAGATTACCGGCTGGTACATCACAACCACCATCAGAAAGAAATATAATCACATTTGTTCTAAAAAAAAAATTATACACAATATTAAAATTTTTAATTAAAACTTACAGGTTAATCTTGGTTTTCAGCATAAGTTGTAATATAAACAATTATAGAATTTCTTAATGTAATTAAAACTTTCATTATAACTATATAGTCAAATACAAATATAACGGATTTTAGTCTATTAATAAAAATCTGTTGTATACTTCATTATTAGATATAGAATGATTTTATAATACTGTGAATTGTCAAATTTAAAATCCGTTATATCCTCTTATCCTTTATATTATATCCATAGTTAAATGATATATTTTGATTGCTTCGTCCAGGATATTTAATGTGTAATAAAAAATTCTTCATACCTAGCTTTATCATAATATGTATTAATTAAACTTCCTGCTTTTTGGATTGCAAGACTAAAATTCGTTCCTCCTGTTGCACCATGTGGTAGCATTTGTTTTAATAACTCATTAGAATTTGTTAATTCTGCATTCTCAAATGGAACAATTAGTTCATTATTGAAAAGAATCAATGAAAATTTATCATTATTTGCAGTTTGCTGCTGTGATTTTGCTGCAATCCTTGCTTCCATAAAAGCATAAACCTTTAATATTTTTTATAAAATTCATTGTTACTATAATTAAACTATAAAACGAAATATCTCAGAAAATAAATACATACTGCACTGTAAACAGCACCTGCCCTATTATCATGAACTCGTAATTGATTATAAACAGGTGTGTTTGGTAATGGCTTTTTATCAGTATCTCTCATAGAACTAGATCTATCTAGGACAAAAATAATATGAAATAATCCTTCCCTTGTTGAAGGATTTTCACATGTAAAGTGATGTCCATCGAGTGAAATATAACCAATACCACTTGGTGGAACATTAGACGGATTAATAGGAGGATGAAATAATTGTAATTCACAGAATGATTTTATAGGTGCTACATTAGATCCTTTCACTTTCTGATGTATTTCATCTGGACATTCAGCGTCGCACTTTGAAAATTCTTCTTGCTCATTAATTGAATAAGGATCTTACAATAATGCAGAGTCAATATCGACATATAAAATAAAGAGAATTACATTTCAAATTTAACAATTAAAGATATCGATATGTTTACCTTTAAAGCCTGTATATTGCCAATAAAGTGAATGAGAAATGAAATCTTTCTTTTTTTCTGGATTAGGGTGAACGACACCTACAATTCATATGAAAGATACAATATATTAGATTTAATGTTTTGGGGAATCCCAATTTTTTAACATATATAAAAAAAACAAACAGTACATATTTAAGAGCTAATAAAATTTTGAGCGATTAAAATCCTCAATTTTTCCCAATTATCTCGTGCACAATACTACCCATAATAATGGAAATTTTGTGCAAAGGCATGGACAAATGTACTAGGCACATGTATTCTAAAAATGTTGGAATGGTGCACGGACCCTAATTTGAAATATATATGCTATGTAAAATGGTCAAGAAAATGTACATACCTTCAATATGTTGTTTATGGGCATTAGGTGTGCATGAAAATTCATCTTTACAATAATCTATGTGACGATGACGTCCGTATTCTTTACAACACTAAAATTTATAATTACAATGTTTAGAGTTATTAATATTATTTTTAATTTTAATTAACTCAATTTTTTTACCAAATTACAAAGCACAAATGTTCCTTGATCGCCTGCTTTTAAATTATAACTTTCATAAAATAAAATAAAATAAAATTAGATATGTGGGTTCTTTATGAAAATCATTCTTTGAGATTTTACAAATTAGTCTGATCGGAAAATCTCGATTTTCATTCATAATTTATGAATTTAAGTGCTACCATTTCCCTGACAACTAGCTCTAGGCCAACACACAACTAAAATCAGGATAACCCTAACTCTAGTCCTAGTATTGGAAAATGATTGTCATGAAATGATAGGATCTAGATTTAAACACATGGATCATCTTATGCCTACCCTCCATATTTAAAATCAGTTTCTTCTGCGGAAAACTCAGTTTGTATCATATTTCCGTGCTTAGTGTCGTGTAATGGTTGTGGATGTCCATACGGTAAAATACACTAATTAAACAGTATTGTGTTAATGTAAATTTTTAATCGAATTTTTAAAATACACATATTTACATACATAATATTCGCAGAATGGACCTGTGGATTATAGTATTAATATTAAATTTTGAATTATAAACTATAGTTTATAATAATACACAATAATAATCTTAAAATTTATTCTTACATTTAGCATCACAATAATGAAAATTATTTCCTCCATGAGAATGGTTTCCTTCATGTTTAAAAGCACCGGCTGGGATCATTTTTCCGCATTTATATCTTTCACATGATTGGATATACTATTGTGGTATGTGACAAAAATTTTAATTTCATAATGCATAAATTTAAAAAATAAAATAAAATAAAAAATGTATTGTGAAATACTTTGGTAAAAGTGAAAGAAGTTTCTGCTACTAATCCTTGATATGTTTCCTCCTGTTTTTTAGGTTCTGTTGAAACTTTGCAGATTCCTGCTTCTTCACATAGCTCTTGGCACTGATGTTCATTGCTTTTATTTGAAATAATTATAATTGAAATTTTAATACAACATAACAAATTAATATAAAATAAAATTATTTTAAATATACCCGCAAAAATGTTGAACATTGTCTTCAAAAGCGTGAAAATGATCATTGCTTTGACATCTACGTTGACAATCGAGAATTGGGCATTGGATTGGACATGCTGTATCATTCTCACATTTATGTCTTTCATGTTCATCTTCACATGGAATAATACATTTGTTAGGACATTTAAAGTAATTGTCTTTTCCTGTTTGTTCTAATTTAACTTGTAAGGAGCACGGAGCCCCACAGAAATGACGTTTTGATTGGCAGAGATGTTCATCACCAGCGTGACCAACCTCCAGTGCGCATTTCTGCTGACAATTACGTTTGTCACTGAAAACACATAGTTCTCCACACAAATGATTTTCCTAAAGTTAAATCCAAAAAGAAAAATATAAATATAAATTAGAATAATACTATTCATGTTAAAATAAAATACTTGCTTCGCACGCATGTTTTCCATCATGACCAGCTCTGTGATGACATTGTGGAAGCAATCTGTTTGGATGTGATTCTTCAAATTCACATTTAGCATGGCATTTGTGATCGGTCAAACAATCATGTGCTTCTTCATGGTGTCGGTTTTTTAAACATTTCAAATTACATTTTTGACAAGAAAGTCCACATAATGTCCATAACAATGAAAGTTGATTTATTGCCTGATCTAAAACATATTTTCCATCTTTTATATCAATGTTATCAGGTGAAAACTTTTCCGTGTTTTGTTGATACCATTCGTTTACCCGATCCACTCGCCGTTTAACAATATAATTAAAGAATTGAAACAACTTATTGAACCATTCAGCATCATCAGAACATTCTTTACGATCTAGAATATTTTCTTCAAAATATAACTGTAAAGTAGCAGACAATGATACAAAACTGGTATCCTCATCGAATAAAAGAAGACCTGAATCTGGAAAAAATTCGGTTTCATCTTTGATGTCATCAAAAATTTCAGATAACTTAACAATATTATCGGGAATCATTTCTCCAGTATCCCGATTCTGATGTTTATAAAACGTTAGTAGTAAATATTAATATTAAAAATTTTAATATCAAAACTTACCAACAATTCGACTGAGTTATTTTTTTCATGTTTTTCCTCAACACCATATGAAATAGCAGGTTTTAGCAATCTTTTCATTGTAGCTACACGGATTTGCACAAGATTCTCATCTAATGAACCCCAATCACATATCTATAAATTATTAAATTAATTACTATAAATAGAAAAAACATCATCAAAGTATTAATTAATATACTGCCTAATACCTTTAACTTCGCCATAAATACTTTTGTATTTTGCAAAAAGGTGCGCGCATTTTTGTATCTTGCCTTTTGCTTATCTAAAACCTTCTTAATATTTTTCAAACTTTTAAACCAAGCTGGGTCATTAAAAATCGGCCAAGGGTCAATGCTTAGACCACTTGGATACATCTTTGATACAAAATTGTCTTCACCCTCCTGTATTAATATTTGATTAATTTATTAATACGTACACAAGGTAAATGGATACTATTAAATCTGAAAGGAGTCTGATAAAATGATTATTTTCGAAGCATAATGATTGTTTTTATCTAATCAACCAATCAAAATCAGTAATTCGCGGATACACACACAAAAACTATCACTATGTCTCTACCCATAATATCTTTCGGGCAACAAAATTTATACACCGACCTGCATAACAATTGATTTGAATCTCAAAGAAAATTCCGAAACTATTCCTTCACGATCTTGAATAGGTACATCTTTTATTATAATGCAAAGCATTGCCTATATAAAAATGATTAGTTGAAGTGTTATAAGGTAATACATACAACCACTATTGAATAATTACCTGAAATATCTTTGAGTCATTTAGTAATGAAGCGCCATCTTGAAATCTCCTAAACATCGTCGACATGTCTCTGTTGACAGCAAATTGATTCTAATCACATATAAAAGTTCGTTAATATCAACAATCTAATAATTAAATATAAGCTTAAAATTTCTTTACCTTGAAAAGAATAAGATTTGATACCACCGTATTGAATAATGTCAAGAATGTATCTAAAATTGTAGAAAGTAAATTTATCATGTTTTTTCTTTTTTCTTTTTTAAGGAAAATTTCTTACCCTCTTGTGGTGATCGTTCAATAGAATTAAGCCCTTCGAAATCCAAAGCAACATAAATGCATTTTTTTGTAATCGCTGCATTGAAATATTATAATATTGTTAGTAACATGATTTACAGAAATTGCCGCAGATCTAACTTGGCACAATAAAATAGAACCATTACCCAGTGACATCCATACACCTTCAGTACAACGCTAAAATTAAGCCATTATAAATGATATTTAATAATTTCTGTAATTTAATAAATTTCAAATAGACAAATTACCATTGCAGAGCCATCGAATGTTGTTCCGACCAAATGATTTAGCATATATCTGATAGATAAAATAATTTATTATTTATGAAGATATAATATTGGTAGAATTTTATAAATTATTTATGCGTACGATTTGCCACTGGACCTTTTTATTTATAAAGAGCCGTGTTAATAAAATACAATTAAAGGATAGCAATGGTTTCTAAAAAAAAGTTAAAGATATACTAACTGTTCCCCCATGCTTGAAACTACCTTGACAGGCAGGTCTCCAAAGTGTTTAAAAATTCCTTCGTACCATCCAAAACTAATATTAAATCGATTATCAGTAATGTTTTTTATATGGCAAGCCACGGTAATAAAAAAAATGGTTAACCTAATTCTTTGAGCAATTTCGTCGACATACAACGCTTCTGGATCTGTAGATTCCGCATCAAAAGCTGATAATCCATCTTTAAGTGGCTGAAATATATTATTTCTGGCAACGGCAATTTGTATTGGTATAAGAACGCAAAGTTGAATCACCCATGAACCAAATTGAACTCTAACAGTGTCTTCCTTCAAACTTCCAAGATCAAGATTCTCAAAGGATGTAACTGATACGTTAAATCTGAGAAAGTAATGAATTTGTTACCACTGCTAATCATTTAATGTGATAAAAATAAATGTACAATCATTTGATCACCTTTTTAGAGATGTTGCAGGTTTTTTTGTAGATACTGCTAATTCTTCGAACATCTTGGATATGTAATCTTTAAATTTATGTTCGTAATCCTGAATCACATTGTCATCGTCCACATCCAACACTATTTGTAAACTTAACGTAGAATTTTGGTCAGGGTCAATAAAATTATCAATAGGGTATTTTTCGAACATCAATTTATATGCGTCAATAAAGCCGTTGAGCATGGTTTTAGGTTCGACACGAAATTCCATCCAAGAATCAAAACCGATAATATTTTGAAAAGATCCGGAAACTTTTAATTGTGTGTCGGAAGCTATCCTTATAACGGGTCTTTTTTCCCCCATAATAACCAAATTTTCTCCCTCCTTAATGTCACGTTTAAATAATGTATCTTTTCCTTCCAGAAGTGAATACTCTTGATTTTGAGAAACCACTTTGATCATTCCAAGTGATCTTTTTTTAAACTTTTGTTGAAAACAATATTGTGTTTTCTCTTGAGTAATCTTAACAATCATCGACCGAAATGTAGAAGAATTCAAATCAATCATTGAGAGGTGAATTTGCAAATTTCTAATGCTTGAAAACTGAATAGATTCTAACGATGTTAATATCGGCGGTATTGAAATTACTATATAATGAAAACGTTACATTTTTATGGTAAATAAAATATTTTTAAGGTATAAATCTTATCAATATTTAAATTTTCAATGACCTTTACTAGCCGGTTTTCCAAAACTAGTGCAAAAATAAATGTATGCATGATCCATTGACTTTTCAATTATTCGCTCAACTTTTGTGCTGGATTCTTCAGAATCATCTTTGCTAGCACCATATTTGCTAACATCATCTTTGCTGACATCGTCTTCGATGACATCGTCTTTACTGACATCGTCTTTGCTGACATCATCTTTGCTAACATTTTCTTCTCTAGCATCGTCTTCTATGACATCGTCTTCTCTGGTATCGTTATCGCTGGCATCTTTAATGACAATATCTTTATCATTACCAATGTCTTCAGCAGCATCATTTTCATCAGCATCGCCTTTATTGACATCATATATATTGGGATCAACTTCATTGGAACCGTCTTCACTCAAATTATCTTCGTTATTCGACAAATGATTAATAATTTTGTCAGCTGTGATACCCTTAACAAAAGCAACAATACAAGACCCATCTGGCGTGCTAATAATATTTTCTGCATTCGTTGGAAATTTAGCTGTGCCAGGTAGGAATTGATTGGTGATCAAATTGTAAACTCTTGCTTGGCCGTTAGTTTCAACAAAACAAAGCTCCTCTTTATCTTTAATAAAAAAGAAAAATTTTATATCTGGTTTACTGTTACCATACCATGCATAAATTAAAATGTCATTGGCTCTTTTATAAAAACCAGTTTGATTTTCATAGAGCTCATAAACATGTAACTATAACGCCAATAAACGAATGAATATTTTATTTAAAACGTATTGAAATAGACAGATCTTATTATTTATGAAAGTGAAAGATACCTCTCCCTTTTCGATATCGTATATTCCAAACATTCCTCTTGGTTCATTTATAGCAATAAGACAATTTTTATTTGGATATAAACTGAATGATCTTTGAGACAATAATTGAATATCATTGCCATATTGCTTTAAAGTGTTAAAATAAATTTCAAGCCGTGAGTGATGATTATTCCATAAAGCGATAAAATATTTTCTATTTTCAAACAGCGCAATTTTCCTTTTAAATCAAGTAAATATAAACAGTCACTTATTATAATAACTTACAAAGTATATTATTTTGATGGTACTGTATTAATTCATTACCTTAATTCATAAGTTTGTGGATCGATTCGAAAGAATAAACCATTTACATTGTCGATTTTTGGATTGGGAATATGTTGCTCATCCGCTCGCAAACTCAAATTATCACTTTCATCGAGATCTGTATTATAGATTGTATATTGCAATTGTTCTGGCTGAATTTCTTCAAGTTCATATAAAATTTTATGGTTACAATCCTTAGATCCTTTAAAGACTAGTTTTTTTTTAAAAATAAGAATAATAATAAATACCAATAAACCAAATATACTGTTAAATGAAAGTTTTTAATATATAACGACATATACCATTATTAGCTTTAAAAGTAGGCCTCCTGTTTAAGTTTTAAATCATTAATATGTTTATAAATTCTAATAAAGACATGACCCTTATAAATTATTGCTTACTCTTTAGGGTATCGATTTTCAAGGTCCGTACGAATTCTAATAATTTCATTTTTTTCAATTTGTTGTATATTTTGGTTACTAATATTAGTCAACTCTAAGTTAATTTTATTTATCCGATCTGAGACTTTTGGTTTATTCTTGTTTATTTTTTTTTCAAAGTCTTTCCTCCAATTTGAATATTCGTCAAAAAACCAATTCACAATTTTATCCTTCTGTTCATGATTTCCAAAATCGAATTCATAAAGTTCCTGAATAAAAATCGCATCAGGCTTTTGTTTAATTCTACTTTCCACATCTGATTCAATTTTATTGCTTTTAGAATAATCGAAGTTTAGTAGATTGCGACCAAAATTGTATAATTTTCGTAATGTGGATAAATTTGCATCATCCTGTTTTTCAAGAAAAGTTTTTGTGCATTTATGAAAATCAAAATTGTGAGAATTTTGATTAGACTCAATTATACTAAGTAAAGCTTTAGTCACTTCATCTCTACTTTTAACAAAACTGTGTTGATTAGTTATAGAGGAATTTGCTTCATTGTCAGTATGATTTGTTTCATTCTTATCTTCAGTAGAATTTGAACTTTTATTTTTGTTTTGATCAGCATCTCCAGTAGAATTTGAACTTTTATTTTTATTTTGATCATCATCTCCAGTAGCATCCCCATTAGAATTTGAACTTCTATTTTTATTTTGATCAGCATCTCCAGTAGAATTTGAACTTTTATTTTTATTTTGATCAGCATCTCGTTGATAAGTTATAATAACAAATTCAAATAATTTTCTCAGATTCGACCAGCCTTTTGAATCAATTTTTATTGCTTCACCGATTTTTTTCTTCATCTCTGGATATATCTTGTAAATTCTTTCAAAATCTTTTGTTAAAGATTGATTCTGTGATTAGAATTTCAACGTTTTGCAAGATTTAAATAATCAAACTTGTGATACTTTTACAATACCTGCAGAAGTATATGAAGCTTGGTCGCACAAATTTTCGGATAAAATTTCTTCGTATTTACTATGAAATTTCAGTAAGTAAATATTATGATCCACAAATGTAAAAAAAAAATCCTTAGATAAAATGTAAATTTAATACATGTATTCTTTCTTTAACTCGTTCCAGTGCATCGTTTCTACTATGAGAACATCTTGTTGTACTTTCTGATTTTCACATTCTTTTTTACGTATTAGCTCAGCCCTTTCTTCTTCTATCGCCTTATTTAAAGGTGCCAAAGCCTTATCTTCCAATTTTGGAAACCCATATTTAATTAAATTTTTAAGAGCTTCCATAGATATATTTTCATTTATACAGAGAGAACGTCCTTCGAGTTTTTTGCTAATAAATTCGGGTGAAAGTTCTTGATTATTATAATTGTTCATTTTAGGATACGGTTGCACTGTCTCCACGGTCATAAATGCTTGATGAAATGCTGATTCAATAACTACATTTAAATGTATATAATGAACTTTCGGTTAATTTCCGATTCATGTCAAAGTATAAACATAAGGCCGCACCAATTTAATTCTGCGCGATTTTGAAATAAAAAATTTTCGTACTATATGATTCAATGAAAACCATCTGTTCTATTTAGCAACAACTAAGAAAATCGAAGTAATAAATTGAAGCAGCCAATTATAAATAAAAAATAAAAAAGGTAATATGCCTTTGATATTTGGTTCATTTTTGAGTTTATGAGGCAGAGGTGTCTTTATAAATAAGAATGTATGAGAGTAAGCTGTTGATAAAAATTTAAAATATGAATATATCTGATTATGTAAAAACCTGAAATCCTGGATAAAGGGTAAAGTCTTCTTTTTCTTCTTGACTCTTTGTTACTTCAAACTCAAAATGAGTTCCTTCATCGTCTTCATCAGAGCTTTCATTGTCATTATCACCATTATTGTCAAATTTCCATTCGAAATTTTCCAAATCACTTTCAGCCATCAAACAAATTTGGAGAGCAGTAAGTTTAGTAAGGTATCTATAATATAGGAATCGTTAAGCACTTCTATTCATGGCTATTGGTACTGTAATCAAAATTCATTGAATTAAAATTTTTAATTAACCTGTGCAAATTTACCATATTCTTCTTTTTATGGTTTGATGTATTTTCCTCATAACAACCGAATTCAGACCAATGAATTATCAAACCAAAATTATCATCCACTTTAAGTAAATAAATTCCAGGACGAAGAACGGGTCTGTTGCCACGGTCAATGTCAAATGGATCTGAGTGAATGAGAAAATCTTGGCTATAATATAATCGATGCAAAAGAAATTGCTCAATACAAATTCTTTTTTCAAATCTACCGTTACATAAGAGCATACATACGTTTGTTCATCAATGAATTTATTTTTGTACAAAAACTTTGCAATTAACGTATGATTCCCGTAGCAACCCACAAGTGTTGTACGAATATCATTTAATCTTGCATAATCTATTTCTGAAATTGACTTGAAGCTATCTTTCATCAAATCATTGCAAAGTCTTTTCAAAGATTCTGCGGAGATAATGATTTTATCAACTACAAAAAAAATTAAACCAGAATTATTAACCATCATATAGATTCTTTAATTTAATAAATCATCTGTTTTTAACGAGAAATGAAAGACTAACCACGCCCATTTGCCCCTTCATCTTTGCATAGGTCGAGTAAACGATATAGCCCTTGAATAGAACTGGCCAAACCTACATGATATAATATTTTTGAATACTACAATCTAACATGTCCTATAGGAAATTGGGATTTGATATCCTGTATGCTTTCTCTCTTCAATGCTCATTTGCGCAGTTTTTGAACTTTGTATTAATTGTTAGCTATTGCACTAATACTACAATTTGACTCAGAAATGTGAGGCGCTAAACGATTACTTAAAATGGTCGACTAGACTCACTCTAGCAGATCACATTGAGGAAACCATTTTAGTCACTAAAAATTTTTATTGGTTAAATTAGATTATCCGCACTGATTGTCGATGGAGTTTCTAATGGAACCCAAAGAAAAGCTACTATCCAATGGGTCTATTTAGTGAATTACTCAAATACGGCGGACTTCTGGAATTTACTTTTAAACCACTTAAAGTCAATTAAATTTAGGGGTTTAAATACGTACAAGATCAGATTTTAAAAATTCTATCTTGTATTAAAAACCTAACTTTATTGTGCTTTGCAAAAAGGTTATTTAATTTATTTAACAATACAAGTTCTTACCATTCGAATTCTCCTCATTTTCTTCTGGATTAATCGCCATCATGTTACAATCTACAAGTTAGTCAAGAAATTTTTATTTCAGTTTTCATCACATTTATAGCGTTGTAAATTTTTAATTCATGTGATGTAACGTCGCGAAATAACGCCATTTCGGAAATCGCTTTCCCCTAAAAAATGCCATATCTGGTTCAAAATGACAGCGCTCACTTTGTATAACATGTGCTGGTCAGGGCACAAATCCTATTGTAAAATGACAGACGTAAATTTTCCATTTTATAATAATCTACTCAGGCTGTGGTTTATAAGCTCGCATATAAATTCCGATTTACTTATGGAAAAAAGGCTAGTGCCCTGGCACTGGTATATGTGAATCTGTATTAGGTTCAAAATTTTTACTTGGAGTCAAAATAACGTGTAGGTGGATAAAATAAAATAACGCGCGGGAGTGTGTTATTGTTCTTATATATAGTTTAATTAAAACACAAACCTTGTGTAATGAAAATCAAACCCATTTTTGATAATTATCTATTAAATTTGCATATTAACATTGAATACGATTTGATTTATGCCAATTAAGTATATATTATTATGGCGTAATATTTCTATTCAAAGAGACTGAGAACTCTAGATCCTCTTTATTGAGATTGATAATTTAAGAACTTTTCTTCGAGTTACTACAGCAAAACTTCCATAAGTGTACCCTCTACATGTGCACACACTCAAATCCACCTAAATATATATCTAACCTTTATAAAGGTAGTTTCTCTTTTTTTTTCCTTTAAGTGCACGTCGGTAAAGGATGCGAGATTATACTATACTAATACCGTATCATACTACCGGTATAATACTGGTATTATACAAGGCATTACCGGTAATAACAATCTAATAATTATATAATACTATTTTATGCGTTTACAATAAATCAAAATTGCTGCAGTATTTTAAATTATAAATTTTAAATGTAAATTTTAAACTTTAAATTTATACGGTATATTATCGTGCAAGCTCTTATGATCATAGATTTTTTTTCCTGTTCGTTATTACATAAGCACAACAATCTCAGTTAGTCAACAATGACATGTAAATCATGACCATAATTGACATTGATATTGGATCATGCGATGATAAATTCTTATAATTATTATTATTATTATGCTGAGTTTTTTCATTAGCCCTTAAACCGTCTAGCGGCCAAATATGGCCGCTAAAATGTTTTTTGGTCCATCTTTGTATAATTGCTCCGGTTTTTTATAAGACGCACCCCTTTTTTAAGCTCAAATTAAAGCGTAACATATTGTCGATCACAGTAGGGATTGTGTAGAGTTTGAATTTTTCACGAATAATAAAAATTTATCCGGCAGCTTACTATGATAGTGCTTGCCAAATAAGTATACATTATCCGGCAGCTTATTATGATTGTGCTGCCAAAATAACTCGAGTTATTTGGCAGTGATACGTCATCTGCCAAATA